ACACACAAGCACACACCCTGAGCTATTCAAGCCTGCTCCCCTGGTCCCTGGGTCTTCTCGTTTCAGCTCCATCCGAGCTCTGCTGTAATTAATTGAATCCCTTATGTGACATTCGCACTTGCTCAATTAGTCGCATTAATTGTTTGCTGCGAAGTATAAAAAATCGTAGCCCTTCTGTGATGGTGTCGGATGTGATAGGAAGCTGGCTGAGCCCCAGCAGAGCGCTTGTTGTTTTTCTGTGCGGTGTGCCGGTGTGTAGTCGTCTGCAGATGTTCCTCTCCTCTAGTATAGGAGAGAATCCTTTCGTGGACCGGAGTAAATGTTTGTGTCGCCGGTGAGGGGACTGCGTTGGGTTCTACGCTGAATGCCGTCTGCAGGCGCGTGGGTTCTTTAAAGCGCAGCCTTGGTTAGCCTCAGGGGTTGTAACTGCGCATTCCCACGCTCCGAGGAGTGGGGAGTGCAGCGGGACGTGTGCTCCACCTTCCCACTCCCCAGCTCACCAGTTTCCACCACTCAGTAAGCCGGGCTTCAGCTAGAATTAACAACGAGTGGAAAACTGAGATCCTGGGGGACAGAGAGTTCGGCTATAAATCTTGTTCTGTAGCCGGAGCAGTGTACACTGGGCCTGCACCTCAAGAGTCACGCCCTGCGCACACACACCGGTGAATGCCGGCCACCAAGTCTAAAGATAGAGAACAGTCCTGCTGCGATCGACGGGCCAGGTGATGCGTTGAATCAAGTAACTTAGAGATCGTTTGGGACCACAATGTCAGCCCTCTTCAGCCCTCGGGGGGTAGAGTTCTGTTTACTGCAGCAGATTACTCGCCTGTAGTTTTCAGGTTTTATTAAACTGGGGTCTTGTAAGACTAACTGTAATGGGGATCCCTGCTAAACCCCTGTATGCTTTCTTATCTCTGTGTCTGGCACCTGTGCCTCCTTGTGAATAGTACTCTCCCACCATATACTCCATGTCTGTGCACTGGGAGTGAACCGTACCCTCTGCCCTGAGGCCCTCTGCTCTGTGCCCTGCAGACAGATGCTGACCCAGAGGTGTGCAGAAGGATGTGCAAGAAGAACCACTTTGAACCGGTCATCTCTCTCGTCTCCTACTACCAGATGGTAAGACCTTGGTGTGCGCAGGGGCTGCAGTCCACGTTTCAGGGTGTAAACGGAGTGGTACGACAGCTGTGTTAGAAGTGTGATATGTATTGAATTGATCGTACTGGGCCCACAGCTGTTGGGGCTGTATTGGAAAGTGTAGTGGTTATACACAGGCTCGTAGCGTCTATCTACTGATACCAAGCTGTGGACTATTGGAGTCAGTCCTGTGTAGGACTGTTGGCGCTGGAAAGATTCATGAGAGTAGTAAATGTGGCTATAATATGCAGCTATAGGGCTGTAGGAAGAAAGTGGGTGTCTAGACAGTTTGTCTTGATATTTCTGGAGCCCTTATGCTGGGCTCTCTCAGAGCAGCCTTGCTTGTAGAGTGTTATGTTAGCCTGTAGGGGACTGTACACAGAGGTGCTGTATTGTGTGCTGGGGTATAGGAGTCAGACTGACTGATGACACCTCCCCCTTCTCCCTGTGTGTGTTGCAGGAGCACAGAGTGGCTCTCCGGCTGCTCCTGCTCAAGGTGTTTGGGGCCATGTGCAGCCTGGACGCCTCCCTCATCTCCACCCTGCTCAACTCCGTGCTGCCCATGGAGCTGGCCCGCGACATGCAGACCAACACGCAGGGTGAGGGGGCGGGGGGGTCGAAGGAGGGAAATCGGATGGGCAGAGAAGAAGGGGAGAGAGGGGAGAGGAAGGAGGAGGGCGGGGAGTGGGGAGGAAAGGGGCGTGTGAGTTTTTGGGAACAAGTCTGTGCTGGTGAGGCGCTTCAGTCTGCCGCTGGCGGTGATCAGCACCTTTTCCTTCTTTCCCCCCAGAGCACCAGAAGCTGTGCTATTCTGCCCTGGTCCTGGCCATGATCTTCTCGATGGGAGAACAACTGCCTTTCCATCACTACGGTAACGGAAAGCAACCTGTAGAAACGCCATCGCTACCGTAACTCATAGTAACACGTATCACTAGAGTGCAGTGTACCAGCTCCGTCTGTGGGGTGACATGTCACGTGACCCCCCTAGCGCCCCCATCACTGTGCTTAGCTGAAAGAACAGCATCAGCATCAGTTACCTACGGCGACACGGTTGCTATGGTAGCAATTTACTTGTTCCTTTGGCAACGCATTGCAAACTGTTTCTAGTAGTCACGCGTCAGACAGGTTGCACGCCTTTCTCGCCTTCGTATTCCGTTTCCTCTCCCTCGGTCCGCCTGACTCTGCCCCTGTCTGGGCCTCTCTCTCCCTCTCGATGCAGAGCAGCTGAACGGCGGTTTTTTGCAGTTCCTGCTGGAGGTGATCGAGGAGGGGCTGCCCTGCGACACCGCCGAGCAGCTGCCAGACCTCTGCATCAACCTGCTGCTGGCCTTCAACCTGCACCTGGCCGGTGAGTCGAGGGGGAGGGGGATAGAGATGGGAGCCGAGACCTGCAGTATCGGGGTCTCTCCGTCGGCTAGTCCTCGAAACAGGCTGAGAGAGGGAGGGAGGGAGGGGGCCATGAAAACTCGAGATGATGTGGCTGCCTGTCCAGCTCCCTCTAGTGGTGGTTTGTCTGTCATTGCACACACACACACCCCCCCCAGCCTCCCAGTCTGTCACAGTGCATCTTTGTCAGGTCGCAGTCCATGAGATTGTGTTGTCAATCGACTTGTCTGGTTAAATAATAGCTAATAAAAGAATGAGGAAGAAATGGGGGGCAATTTGTAGGTAGAGAGAAGGGAGGGGAGGCTGGATGAGGGAGTTTTTGGAGGTACAGAGTAATGCAACAGCGATCTCTACTCCACCCCTTCCCCGTGTCTCTCCTCCCCCCTCTTTCCCTGTTCTGATCTCTGTTTTTCTCTCTCCTCCTGCCCCCTCCCAGTGCCTGCGAGTAACCTGATCATGCAGACTTTGGTGAAGAGGCACAACGTGAAGATCCTGACGGAGAAGATCCTGCTGCTCCTCAACAGAGGAGGTGAGGTGGAGGCCTTTCTGCCCTGCCCAGTGTGCAGCCCCCAGTGTCCAGTCTGTGCAGTGCGCAGGGCCCAGTGTCCCGTCTGTGCTCTGCAGTGCCAGTCACATTAAACACGTGCTGTACACTTCTGTCCTGTCCTGTCACACTGCAGCGCTGTGTGGGACTGGACTGCATGCTGTCCTGTGTCCTCAGAGTTCGCGCAGCGTTGACGTGGTCTTCTGTCACTCTTCCTCTACCCCCCGCCCCCAGACGACCCCGTGTGCGTGTTCCGGCACGACCCCCCGGCGCCTCACTCCGTGCTGAAGTTCCTGCAGGACGTCTTCGCCAGCCCCGACACCGCGCACATCTTCTACCGCACCGACATGATGGTGATGATCGACATCGCCGTGCGGCAGATATCCGACCTGTCTCCGGGGGACAAGGTGGGGTGCTGACCGAAGCACACTCGGACACGCTCTGGGGCGGGGCGAGGGCGAGCGTGTTGTCTGTGTGCCGGGGTTCCCTCCTCTCATTCTCGGGAAACCCCCCCTAGTCATCCACATACTTAATCACAGGCTAATTGACGTTTTTCATTCTCGATCTCTCCTAAAATGTCTGTACCGTGTGGCGATCGGTATCGGCCTCGTGCACGAGCCCAGCCGTGAGCCGGGTGACATTTGACGAGTTGGACTCCGTCAGAAAGACGGACGCTGGCTCATCACTGTGGGTGTCTGGTATATTCTCCTTCCCACCTGCCCACCTGCCCGTGAAGAGCTGTTGACTCCGAAGCGAGGGAGAACGGAGCCTGTTGGGGAATCATCTGCTTTAGCTGGGATGGTTTTGAAGTGTGTGAACAAGCAATTCAGTCGAACACCTCGACCCCCAGTGCATTAGGGATGAAAACCAGCCAGTGCCATCACGGGGACTCTCCGTTCCAGCACTGGGAGCCAGTCGCGTGTACCGTCCACGCTGTCTGCGCTCTTCTGTGGAGACTGAGATATGTAGAGAAGGAGATCGCTTGCGATATCTTTCACTCTAGGGGGGCATGGTGACGCTCTGGGGCCCGGGGTTCAGTCTGTGTGGAGTCTGTATGGTCTCCCTGTGTTTGCATGATTTTCCTCCAGGTGCTCCAGCTTCCTCCCACAGTGCTGGTGGCTAAATTGGCTTCTGGGAAAGTTGGCCCTGCTGACAGTCTGTGGTTGAGATGGAGTGGGGTCCCAAGCAGGGTGCACCCCGCCTTGCGCCCGTTGCTTGCTGGGATAGGCCCCGGCACCCCCGCGCCCCTGAACTGGAAGGACCGGTTGGGAAACGGGCGGAGCTTTCATTCTGCCCTCTTGTCCTTTCCCTGTGCCCGATCCCGCCTGGACTCCCTCTGCAGCTGCGGATGGAGTTCCTCTCCCTGATGCACGCCATCGTCCGCACCACGGACTACCTGGAGCACCGGCACCGGCTCCCGGACCTGCGGGGGGCGCTGCAGCGCATCCTGGGCGAGGAGGAGGAGGAGGAGGCGGGCGGAGAGGAGGGCGCGGCGGCCCGGCAGATGGACAGGCTGATCGTGCAGGAGATCTACAGGGAGTTCCCCCGGATCGCCGAGCCCGAGGAAGGGCACTGACCCCTCTGAGCTGCGGGCGGGGAGGAGGAGGAGGAGGAGGAGGAGGAGAGACAGCCGAGCAGGGAGCAGGAGGGGGAAGGGAGGCGAAGACGATGGGAAGAGAGACGGGGGGGATCGCAAAACCTTTACTGCAGAGCAGCATGCAGGAGGTCCAGCTCCTCCTTCCTCTCTCTCCTCCTCTTCCTCGTTCTCTTCCTGTCTCCCTCTCCCGCTGCCTCTCTGCTCCCTTCCCTCCCTTCCTTCTCCCCTAGCTCCCAGAATCCTCTCCTGCCCCCCTGCTATACGTGAGCAACTGGCAGCCTCATCTCAGCATTGCAGTGCCAGCGCCACACTTGAAAAAGCTAAACGGCGTATATATATATATTTATTTTAATATATTTTCTTAAGTGTCTGACCCAGTAGCTGCTTGTGCTGCCTTGACAGTGGTGAAACACGAACGATCGGATGGAGACGGATGGCTGGGCTGTGTGCGATTCTCAGGTCGCCTCTCCAGGACGGTGCAGTGCGGTCCTGGGCATCCCCCATGCTGCAGGGGGTGAGGGTGGGACGCTCTCTGGTGGGGACTGGTCATCGGAGAGTTCCAGCGGGCGTCTGTGTCTTCCTGTCAGGTGTCGGCCTGGTCTCTCGTCTTGGCCCTCGTCTTTCGAGACTCTGACAGCTCCGGGGCTCCTGAAGGGTGGGTCTGGGGGTGGTGTGTCGTCGTGGGTCTCCCTGATGTCGCTCTGTGTTGCAGGAGGTGCTGCGTCCTCCAAAATTCAAGAGCCCTGGCTGGCTCATACCTGCTTTACCCCCCCGACAAGCTCTCTGCTGTTGTTGTGCCATTCGTGAATCAATCTGAGTGCCTGACAAATTTCAGAGGGGCCAGCTGCAAGTCTTACAGAAAAAACATTGGACAAGTCAGCATGAGACGACTTCTACAATCCCCGTCTCCCCCCCCCCCCCCCCCCCCCCCCCCCCGATGGCAAAGGCTAAAGTTTGTGGTCAAGGTCCAAGCTAATCATCCCCCAATCCCTCGTCCTGTGCACTGACCAGTGACCTTTGAGCTTTAACCTCTAACCTCTAACATCTAACCTCTAACCTATCCAGAGGGTCACTCTTCAGTTGGGCAGACAAGAGTCTCATCTTCGAGGTGTAACGCTGGGGCTCTGCTAACGCTCTCCGCCCTTCTACAGCTCCGGCCCTCTCCATGCCCAGCTGTCCCCAGCACCAATCCCGACTCCTGACACGCTGGCGCGACTCCACCCTTTCACCGAGACGGAGCAAAGGCAGCGAGTTTGGGTTGGAGCCTCTGGCTGGGAGGGGTGTGTTTGTAGTTGAGAGGGCTTTGGAGTTAAAACGGGTCCAGTGCTGCTGCTGTGTAAAATAATGTCCTTCTGGAGCTTTTGGAGCCACCCAGAGCCTCTCGTGCTCCGGGTTTAACTTCTCTGCTAGATTTGCCAGAGGATCTCTTGGTAAATTCGCACCTTAGAAATGTTTGCCATGGCCATACTGTACTTTGAGACAAAGGGAAGTGGGCGTGAATTTTTCATTGAGGAAAATCTGGCCCTGCAAGGACATTACAGAGTTCGCTTTGGTGAAACAATGACAGAGCTGGTCCTGTGTTAAGGAGCAGAGCAGACCTCACCTGTGCTGCTGCTCACGTGTGTGCACATGCGTGTTAGTTGCATGTTGGCCAGCACAGTTGTGGTTGCGTGTGCAAACCTGCGTCCTATACTGTGCCTTTCCCCCGCCTTGTCACCCTTTCCTTCCCTGAAAAGACGCTGACACGTTGTTAACGGAGATGCCTGTGGGTGGTGTTGATGAATTACAGTATATTTTCCCAGTTAAAAAATCCAAAGTATTAAAAAATGTATAAAGATGGAGAGGGGAAGAAATAAGATGGAAAAATGTATTTTCATAAAACTCCGTAATAATAAAATAGCCTGTGTGTGCAAGAGATTGCGTTTTTGGAATTTGTTGAAATTGCTGTCCCTCTCCATTCTCAGTTTTAACTGTCCCACACTGCATCAACACCGAACACACAGACACACAGTCTTTTACTTATTTCTGCCCCTAGGACTCCAATGACTGCTGTTTCCAGGAGTTTTTAATTTGGTCTATGAAAAATTAATGATGTTATTACCCTGTCAGTACCCTGGGCCTCCTGTACGTTATTAGCTGAGTAATTTCCCTGCGCAGGAGGGGTGCTTTTCCCTCGGCTTCCAGACCTGGGCTCTGGGGGAAAGGAGGCTGCCTGCAGCCTTCATCCCTTCATTGTTTTCTCCCCTCGTGTTCTTAGTTCATTGAGTAGTACTGCTCTTACCTTCCTCTCGGTCTACCCACTGTCCCACATTGCCTCCCTCCCTCTCGGTCTACCCACTGTCCCACACTGCCTCCCTCTCTCTCTCTCAGCTCT